GGAGGAGGCGGTCAACAGCACCGCCCCCTGCCCATTCCTCCGCCCGTACGCTCGCGGCGTCGGGGGACCACGCCCGGTGCCGCCCCTTCCCTAGGGAGCCGCCTGAGGAGGAGCCGGGCCCCCGCCTGATCCCTCGCGGCCCCAGTTTCCTCTAGTCCGGAGGGCGGGGCTCTCGCCTCCCCGCCCCCGATTTCTCCTCCTAGAGGGGTGGTTTGTAGCCTCCCTCTCTCTCTCGGCGGCCTCCTTCTGCGACATCACCTCCTCGCAGAAGGAGGCCACCGCTTCCCAGGACCTCATGCCTTATACTTCATAAATATATGTACATAGTTTTGTAACCAAGAGTGTGTTCGTGCAATCAGGCGTGACTGATGCTGGCGTCATTCAATCGTTGCGAAAAATTATTCATCAACTGTGTGACGCACAAACACTTACGAACGCGCATCCTGAAGTATCACTCATTGATTTTGATCAAACGTACTTATGATATAGTCCTACAAAAAATATTGGTTATGTATTTGTTTTTATCGCCCGCCATTCATGTTGAAGGAGTGAAAACAGCCCCCAACGTTGGGTTGTCGAAACGATAGAGGAGTGGTTTAAATGTAGCAATTGTGTGTTTCTCAACGACCTATGTAATTAATTTCCCTGACCGCGGGCTCTACGCGCGCTCTGATTGGCCAGTGATTCCCTGAGCGCGGGCTCTACGCGCGCTCTGATTGGCCAGTGATTTTCGTTAATAATTCAAAAATGAAGCTTCAAACAACGTTTTGGTCAAACAACAGTTGTACAGAGTCACCCCAGCAACCCCCGATTTCCGGGTGTTCGAGGAGTTACGGGACACCCTGTATGTAATGAAGCTTCAAACAACATTTTGGTAAAGGAAACAGTTGTTCAGAGTCACCCCAGCAACCCCCGATTTCCGGGTGTTCGAGGAGTTACGGGACACCCTGTATGCATACAGTGATTCCCACTAATATTTGGACACTCTTTAGAACAGTATAGTTTTTTCAAAATTGGACCTAATGACTTGAGTTTTTTTCAGAAGTTAGAAGGATTAGTATACTAGATGATATGTACACAAAATTTTGAAAAAATTGCAATTTGT